AGTGCCAATAGGCGCGACTGGTGCTTGCCCTGGCGGTCAAGAAAATGAGCTGTGACTGCCATGACAGCATGCCGATTAGGCGATGTCCACAGGTCGAACCCCAGATGGATTTTAGTAAGGGCATCCGAGAGCTCCTGCTTGATCTCATCTTTCTTAGACTTGTACGTGTCATCCAGCAAACGGCCCATCGATTGTCGGCTCCATGGTATTTGGTCAGACAGGTGAGGGTCAAGCTGCCAAGCAAGCTGCTGAAAGAATGTATCGCTAAAGAAGGAAAAAGGAACGTTGGTGTTGATCAGAAGTCCCAAGCTCAATTCTCGGATCGTCTTGACTCTGGCGCGCGGCACGGTGCTGTACTGCAAACGTCGTCGCTTAGGCCGTTCAGATTCATCGGTTGACAGATCTGGATCAGCTGCTTGACTGCTCTCGAAAATCCTGTGAGACCTGGCGTTGGTCAATAGTGCTCAAGCTCGCGACGTCACATTCACATTCACATACTTGCGGAGATGGTCCGCTGCCGAACTCGTAGCAGCAGCGGCGAAGAACTCAGGCTGACCCTTCGCGTCGCACAGACGACAGGCCCAGTAAGGACTCAGCGGACTGTCGTTAGTGTCAATCTCAACAAGAAAAATTCCATGGCGCTTGATCCAGCTCTTCCGGCCCTTTGAGCCCTTCCGGGACAAGGACTCTTCCAAAACATATCGTTTGTTCCTCCACACTGCTCGCGGAAGATCTGCAACAGTAGGGTGGTCTGGCAATGCCGACTGCGTCGTCAGCTCGAATTGACTCGCCAAATTCCTCGGTGGTCGAAGAAAAGAAAAGGCAGAGGGTGGAGGCGAAGGAAGCATGATGTCGTCGGATTCCATCGGGTTAGGCGTCGACTCATGGGAGGAATGGTGCGCGTTGAAAGGTAAACAAACTAGCACTGACGCGACTTGATTTCGCTAGGACGGGACGTAAAAGTTAAGGAGCTACTTTCTCCTCCACCAGCCTGACAGTGGTATTGGGGTAGCTCACTAATGGAGGGCTTGATGGATGACTTTGATTGGCTGGGGTCGCTCACCAGCCAGGTTCCGGGTAAGCTGTGAAAGCGCGGTCAACGGTCTGGCAGCATGGACGCTGGATGGCATATTGTGTATCAAATATATCAAATGTTATTTCAAATCGTGGATTTTGTATTTGATTGATTTGTTTGGCAATTTGTTTGATTGGATTTGATCTGGGGGCTGCGCTGTTTTGAGGTTATTCGCGTTGACAGGGAATTAGCGCTGGGATCCTGGGTAGTTGGCAGTCAATAGGTGGACGGATACCCGTCCTTCTAAAATTGGACGGGTCCCGTCCCAGTTACCATATGTAGTATAGTTTTCTCCGCTATCGGACCGTCAGTATCATCACCCTTACACTTGCAAGACCCAGTTCCAGATTCAACAACGCGGCTGAGGTACGATGATGCACGAGCAATCCACCAGAGATATGGCACGTCAGGAGATGATTGGTATAAGGTCCAGCCACTGGGAACCTCGCCAGGTAACCGCCAGTATAGAAAAGCAAGGGGCCTGCCTTTAGCATATCCAAAAGCAATCTACAGCTGGCGTCTTGATTATAAGCAAATGGGGAGGTGCTGCGCAACCTCAACGAGCTTAAGAGAATGGACCAAAGAAGAAATGGTGGCTTATTCAGACTGGGCCAAAGCAGAACCTGATCGCATCGAAGCACAAATAGCTCGAGAGACCGAGAACGGGCGACTGTTCACAAGCAGAAGAGACATCGGTGAGCTTTGGGAAATAGCCTAGCAGGATATCGATGAACAAGAAGCCTTGTACTCGGCCATGGGAGAGGAAGAAAGCTGTATTGTGGTACAGCTCTAGCTCTAGTAGAATTTGAAGTAAATTTGCAACTCAGACATGTCGTGGCTATTTCACTTCAAGCCAGTGGTTCGTTGGAATAGCTGGTAAATGGGACTCGTTAAACTACTTGAGGCAGTGGAACAAGAAGGCGTGAGGTAATCCGATAGCGGAAAAAATTATACCAAAGATGGAAACTGGGACGGGATTCGTCCAATTTTAGAAGGACGGGTACCCGTCCGCCTACAGTGGGGTGCAAAAAGTATTCGCAGGTGTGTAAATTGCCCGAGCTTAGCTTAGGTACTCAATACTAGGATATCACCTGATTGAAGTGTAATGTAAGGTATCAAGGACTTGACAAGCCACCGTTGACTAGCTTCCGAGCATCAGATCTACCTACACACCTGCGAATACTTTTTGCATCCCACTGTATTAGCCGCCGGTCCAAAAGGGGAAGGTGCACGGGCCACAAAAGTTGGTATTGGGCCCATTACCAGTGGTAATTGGTACAGTAGGGGTGTAAAAAGGGAAAACCCCTTTCCTACTTAATTAGACTTGATACAGTATGCATCTAACTTCCAAGCCACTTCAACCTCTCCGAGCCACACAGTCCCCTTCCCTTCGCGGTTGGATAGTCGGCCAGATTAACTAGATTCTAATGTGTTTAGGTTCTCTTTGGCTCGCACTTGATAGGCCAACCCATGTCGTAGCAAGTAAAATCTATCGTCTGGCCACCATTTTGAACCCTCGAACGCCTACTAGCCCAGTTATATGGATGGTTGTATGTGAAGGTGAATGTGTCACGGCATCCGGACTTCATCTCATTATCGGTGCAGCAGGTCTGCCATCTACCGTTTCAAAAGCCATAGCGCAGATCGCTGTCGGCTTTTCCACGTAGATCGCTGTTTAGAAGGGTCTCTTCAAGCTGATGATTCGTTGTCGGGGAGTTTGGATAACAGTTGACTTGATGATTTGCAGCATCGGCGCCAGATATAGCAGTCAGGAGACAGACTGCAATGTTGCTAAACCTCATTGTGTTCGAATTTGGAGACTGATAAAATAGTATGTTAGTAGAAATTAGTTAGGAATGACTAGTTTTATGAGACCTTACTTGAAAAGACCCTGGTAATAGAATTGTTAAACTGATAGCTGATAATGACTATAAGGATGTGTCGGCTTAAGAGCGTTTTCCTGTTTTATACAGCAACTATATAAGACAGAGGACTTGTCCCTTACATTTTATAAATACTCTGCTTTAACGTGGCTCGTATTTTAAAATTATTCAATATAATCTAGTAAGTTTATAAGTCTATACTTAAAAGGGCTAGAAATGTAGTATTTACTATTTCCCGCCCCCACGTCCCATAACTTAACTTTAGTTGCAGGCGTTACTGATATACCCGGTCTTGCCGATATGCCCGTCTTGCTAATATCACGAGGTACCCAGGATACCTCTAAAGCTCAATGCGACATATGGAAAGTCTAAAGCGAAGAGAAAAGCATGACGATTATAGTTCCTAAGTGATAGATAGATAACGCGGGTAAGGCTTATTACTGTAAATCAGTTTTATCAATGGTCGGTGAGCTAGGGTCGTTAGCGGCCGTTCCTCAAAGAGAAGCAACTAAACTGTGGGATATTGAGACGGCTCTTTCCGGGCATCTTTCCAAGGATCCTATTCGCTTTTGTCAAAGTGCTGTAAGCGGTTATGGGTGAGATGGATTGAGAGGGTGGATCGAGGGGGGTCAGGCAAATCAACTCGGGTTCTACAGATAACACCGACAAACGTGAAACAATGGAGCACAAAGTAAGAGCCGGCTCCCGCGGCTAATAGTGGGGCCGTTCGCTTCCTAAAAGGCCGCATTCTAAGCGGCAACGGACAGGTCCGATGTGCCACAGAACCTCATTCTACACCTGAACCCTGAACCTCTGAACTTTTGTCAGTGGAGCGGCTAGCTGGGGGTTGGGAGGGTCAATTTGAGCTAATTAGAGGCCTCTGTTTCCTGCTTTTGCAGCTAACTAGCGATGTCTCTACAGTGGGATGCAATAAGTTTGAATCCAAACTCAAGTACACATTCACTGACTAACCAAGGTAAGACCAGTTCCCTACGTAGCAATACCCCAATCGGGATAGCCTTTTGCCTGATACAGCTTAGCGCTTACTTTATCAAGCTAAAGCGTTGTATACAGGAGCTAGATTACAACAGCTGGTACTTCAGCCTGCATTCAAACTTATTGCATCCCACTGTATACGATTTTTCTTGTTGATACGGAGAGTGCTGCTCATTTCAAACCCGCCTCTCCCCGCTCATCCATAATCAAGGGAGCATGAACGCCGTCGGACCATCTTCCAATTTATGCCCATCGGGACGGCAGAACAAAGAACCAGATCGCAATATGCGCGCAAATCTTGCGACATATCAGTTGCCTAATGTACACTAGTACAATACACTAGGCCGCCGTCAGCTATTGTCATTATCTACAGCCAACAACGTTGCTCTATTTCCACAAGGGGGACAGCGAGAGGGTTACGGAGGTGCCGTCTTACCGAGATTTGGTCGTATTCAAAGCAGGTACCGCCAGGGGAGTTCTAGGTTTTAAGCTTCGAAGAAAACCTAAACTCGCGGCCAGACTCGTAACCACGGGCAGGCCGAATGATAGTAGAAAGAAAAATGGATACATCGAATCATTCATTCCCCGAGACCTGGATGTAGGGACTAGGTCTCTTCTTCAAGTCTTACTGTAGATTCCGTCTTTTCTTACCCTTGGGCAAGTAAGTTCGAGACTATGCAATGCTAGTAAAAGTTATTAAACTAGCAGGTTGCAGTTTAGCTTTAGCACAAATATTAAAAGCGTTTGACTAATTGGTGATGCTAGGTCTACACTACCTACTCCGTACTGTTTCATCCTATAGTGTGTAATCAAACTTTAAAAACAGCATATGTTTTCTACGGCAGATTTTCCAGGTGCTTCTTTGGCATAGACAAGTATAAAGACACTAGAATCGTCGGCTTCAGTATGGGGAATAGAGAGCACTATAGCCGAATTCTTCTCTGGCACAAAGTCTGCTTTTGTTCCGTATTATTTACCGTTGTCGACCAATATTCGTTTAAAGAATCTCGGCGTCTACTCTTTTTACACAAGAAACCTCTTCAGATATGGCTTCTATGTCGTTCAAATCTATCGCGACCTTGGCCTTTGCGGTCTCGCAACCGGCCCTCGGTGCCGTATTCCCAAACGGCATCTTCAACCGGTCAGAGATTGAGGCCATGCCTATTGAAAAGCGTGGCTCCGTAGACGCCTTGCTCTGGGAAGCGGCTGAGATCCCCTATATTCTGGAGGGCCTCCCCCACGATCTGTCAGGCTCGATTCGCGATGCCATGAGGGAGTGGGAGCAGTCCTCCTGCATCCGCTTCGTGCCTAAGACCACGCAATCCGCCTGGGCAAACTTCAAAAAGGTTAGCTGCTTGGTTCCTTGGTTCTAGACGGGTCGCTCACTGGTTGCAGTACGATGACGGGTGCTTCGTCCGTGGATTGGGCTCTCCTGGTTCGGGGGAGAGAATCGTCAACCTCGATTACCCCAACGCCTGGGAGAGGATCGTCTCTTTCGGCAATTATAAGGCTTGTCTCGAAGCCGGTACGCCTGCCCATGAGGTAAGGTTCTGCATTCCCCCCATTCCCCAACGCGACCACTGTCGGCGCACAAAACTCACATGAGGATAGCTCGGGCACCTTATTGGACTCATTCACGAACATCAACGTCCCGACCGCGACCAATTCATCCGTGTCTTGACGGATCGTATCCAGGATGACCAGCAGGATCAGTTCACCATTGACAAAACCGGAGACATCCACGTGCCCTTCGATTACAATTCCGTCATGCTCTACGACACCAAGGCCTTCGCAAAGACGAATGCGTTGACCCCGATCGTCGGAGACGTGAGTGTCAAGCACACCATGGAGACGATCACGGACAAGGAGATTGACCCTTGGAACTCTCCTACCGCCAACGACTTCAAGGCCGTCAATGACGCTTACAAATGCGAAGAATACTACACGCGCGTGATTCCTCAGTGCCTGGCTGGAACCATTCCAGCCAACGGAGACTACTCAACCTATAGCTTCATCCTTGACAAGTACACCGAGGCATACATGAGTGCCAACGGCTACACCCACGTCGCGGTGCACCAGAACTGTCGCTCCAACGCGATTGACATGGACACGGACAACTGGGGCTTTACGCCCCTGAATGGCTGGGGACCCCGCGCCCAATACACGGTTACCACCGACCGCTGCAAGAAAGATCACGACCGCCACGCCAGCCGCTACGAGGTTGCTCTCTGCAAAGGCGACAACGAGGACGCTTGCGACATCAAGTGTGGTCTGCGCCGCGTCTGCCCTTTTGATGGTAGCGGCAATCAGGTCGATAGCAAGGCAATTGGCATCGTGGACCCCAATCTTTGGATTTGCCATCCCCACTAAGCGGTTCTGGGCGCCCGAACAAACCAAATTTACCTCTTCTTTCCTAGTGAGCGACCGAGCTTTCCGCTTTGAATGTATCTATATACAAGAAAAATATGTCAAGCGTGTAATGTATTAGGCTGCGATACGAGGAGTTGGAACATTATCTATTTAGGTGTTGGAGGCTTGGAGATGAGGGCGCAGGAGTAGATAAAATGAATAGAATAAGATGTACTTTATCGCATGCCTGTACTAGCAGTTTGGATTACTATGCACTACCAGTAGCATATTGCGCTTTTTGCAATTGTACCATATGCTGCCTTTATCCGCAAGCTAAACTCTTCTGCCACCCCAACTCGGAACAACCAGCCCTAGTCAAACATCTGTTTATGCAGTTTCGACTTGGATACTCGTTTTCAGTTTTCGGACTCTAGCTTAGAGAGTGTTGAAGTAACAGGGTTTATTTGTGTTGTTGGTTCTAAGTTACATGTGTCTGAGAAGAGCACAGCTCCTTACATAGTACCCACATCCTAGCCCAGTGATCGGAATGGTCTGGTATGAATGAATGGATTTATTCCGCCCGGGAGGATACGCCTCATATGGCCCACAACGTTGTATCTCGTTACATTGTTATTCCCCTCATTTTGCCCCTTACTTCACCCCTTACAACCTTAACTCACCAGCCCTTTCACCTTGCCACTTTCCCCAGCCTCGCTTATCCCTACGACAGGCCTGCTTGAAGGCCAACTTCTTCAAGTGTTCAGCGCCCTATCTCCAGCAGCTGAAGCCTGGTCTGTCTACCAGAGGTTGTGCTGTGTTAGTTCTTATTATCTAATGGATAACCCCACCTAATGGATAACCAAAATTTCGCTCCGTCCATACAAAATCCAAATTTTCAATTACACCGTATTCGGCCAAGAATGAAGATACTTGCAAAGTAAGACCTGTACTATATTGCTTTTTTCGTAGGATTTTCATGTCGGTTTAAATTTCCCCGTTCCGCCCCGTAGCCTGGTTCTCTAGCCCTTTGAATTTTGTCGCATTTCACCTCATGTACCCTAAGCGACTCCATCCACTCAAGCCGAACTTTCACCTAATTTACTCGCCACAACTCCTTCCGTAATGGTTCGCCGTAATTATACCGAAGATGACGTAGCTGAGGCTATCTTCGATACCACAGATAGAGGCCTCTCACAGAATGAGGCGGCCCAGAAACGTGGAGTACCTCAGTGGACCATTTCGAGACGACTTTCCGGTCAAGCAAGCAGGAATGAACGTATCCAGGCCCAGCAGCGTATTCCAAAGAGCCAGGAGGAGACGCTTATTCGTTGGGTGCTGCGACAAGAGTCCCTGGGCTATGCTCCCTCGCACAGCCAGGTCCGCGCCTGTGTCGAGGCCATCCTTCAACAACAAGGCGATAACAAACCTTTGGGCAAGCACTGGACCACCAGGTTCGTCAAACGTCACCCAAAATTATCTACCAAGCTTGGAAAACGTCAAGAAGGCGCCAGATTTGACGGCTTTACTCCGAAGGCGGTCAATTGGTACTTCGATATCAGGGAGAACGAGTACGGCTGGATCAAGCCTGAGAACACAGTTAACGTGGACGAGGGCGGTATAATGGCGGGTTTCGGTAAGTCTTCTGCAAGTACTCTATAGGCTTTTATAGGGCATAGCTAATTGGTTGTCCATGAGGCCTGGACAGCCTCGTGATCGGGAGCTCTGACCCGAAGAAGAAGGCGATGTTGAAAGGCGTTCAGTCGCGCACGTGGACCTCGTTTATTGAGGCTGTCACCGCAACTGGCCGTGCTTTGAAACCGGGAATTATCTTTAAAGGAAAAGAGCTGCAGAAGCAGTGGTTCCTTAACGAATTCGAATTGATAGCGGACTGGCACTACATCACATCCCCGAACGGCTGGACCGACAACCATATAGCTCTCGAGTGGTTGAAGGACGTTTATCTACCACAAACGGAGCCTCGTGATTCATCGGATGCGAGACTTATTATCCTTGATGGTCACGGGAGCCATGCGCAGGTGAGCATTTCGGTGTTTTCGCCGCTGAGTCACCCGCTATAGGGTCGCTGACGAGCAGTCAGGACGAGTGGATGGCTACTTGCTTTCTGAACAACGTCTACTGCTGTTACCTACCAGCACATTGTTCCCATGGTCTGCAGCCATTAGATAATGGGATTTTTAATGTCATCAAAGGTGCGTACCGGAAAGAACTCCAAATGCTGGCTAGTTTGACCGATTCTGCGCCGGTTGACAAAGTCAACTTTATCCGGGCATACGCGAAAGCCAGGGAGGCGGGCATGAGGAAAGATATTATCTTATCCGGCTGGAGATTTACTGGAAATTGGCCAATAAATCGTCATAAGGCTCTAACACATCCTGAAATTCAACCGGACAAAGAAAAACTGCTGGAAGAGTTCAAGACGCCGAGCCCTCCTCAACTGCACTCAGATGATACGCCGAAAACAAGTCGGCAGGTGAGGGATATGGCCAAACACCGAAGTCGTACGACGAGGCAGAAGTACAGTAAGATCGCAAAGGGGTTGGAAGCTTTAGAGATGAAGGTGGCCGTTCAGAATACACGGATTACTGGCCTCGAGGAGCAGATGGCCCAGGTGCGGCGAGGGAAGAAAAGAAAAGCGGTACCAAACCCGAACCGACGATTCATGGCTCTGTCGGAGAATATAGCGGCTGGAGAAGCTCTTCCTGACTTAAAAGAAGCAGAAATAGAGGTGGATGTGGATGAGGAGGTCGAGTCGGTGATTGAGGTGGGTGTCAGGTCAGAGGACGAAAGTGATGACTTTATGGTCGTAACAAAGCACTGCCAGCGCACACGCAGCGGTCGGGAGGTCAAAAAACCACGCAGATAGTAAAATTTGAGCAGTTTTCTAGAAACTTTCTCCAAAGCCTTATTTATTAATTGAGAATCGGGCCTATTTTTTGTGGACATCAAAATTTGGATTTTGTATGGGAGGAGCGAAATTTTAGTTATGCATTAGGTGGTCCTGGATGGTAGCTCTCCAGAGTCAATTCTAGAAGTATTGAGGTCTTCTTCCAAGGGAACAAAGATAGTTATGCATAAGGTTGCCTTATTAGAGGCCAGGGTCCAAGATCTTGAACAGGCAAATGAGATACTAAGCCGGCGGCGGAGGGCAAAAAGATCCCGGCTACAGAAAGGAGGGGTGATGACAGTAGAGAAAGGAAGGCAAGGAATTGACCAAACGGATGTTGATGCGCAGGCGGTGGCTAGACCATTGAGAAGTGGTGGTCAAGGAGGGCCTGCGCGAATGAAGGAAAGGCGCTGTGGAGCGTGTGGCAAGACAGGACATACGGTAATGCAAGGACCTGTCAGATATTTGTCGCTATGTCTCTGGAAGAATATAACGATTAACTTTACTTAATTAATCCTCTGTTGTGTTTTTATGGCTATTTCTATCTGAGACGTTAGGATGTTGTGTTGCACTCGCTTATCATGTACGTTAGACTCTAGCTCGTTAAATATCTATAACCCTCTTCATAACTAAACTCGTACTTAAATCCATCATCTTATCAACAATTTCTGTTATCTCATCTGCAATCTTCCCTGCCTTGTCGGGGTCTATAATGGCCTGGTCATATGATATCTTCAGACTATGCGTATTGTTTGGAGCCTTGTGCACCTCTACTACCAGTGCATAGGGTGAAGGCATTCGGACCTTGCACTTGGCCATGATCAACCATCTGTAATCGACGTTGGGGTCATCCTTCGGTGCTGGTTCAAACGGTTGGAAGATGAATAGAGCGCGGTTGCCGACCTGCTGTCGATCTAGACTAGCGGCCCTATAGATGTCGTCTAGGCCAACATCGCCGTGATCTGTCATGGCCCAGAAGTCATCTTGCACGCGGCCAAGGAAGGATGAGAGTAGCTCTTGGGGACCAATGTTGACACGCACGGGGAGGAAGTTTGCCGCAGTGCCGTTGATAGTCTGTGGCTCTGGAAGGTCGACATTGCGGCCAGCGCTGACTTCAATTCAAGTAAGTCAAGTTTGGGGGTCCAACTTGATTACTTGAAATAAAATCGTCCATGGACTTACTTAACTTGAATTGAATTGATACAGTGGGGGGCAAAAAGTATGAATCCAAACGCAAGTAGCTGGCCCGCCCCTAACCCGATTAGGCACGCGTTTTTCCCTGCCGCTTTTGCATGCCAATTTCTTCCCCACTGTTGAGACAGTATGGCTAAGGTGGTCCGATCTGCTGGTGGCTAGGATGTGGATACTATGTAAGGAGCTGTGCTCCTCTCAGACATATATAACTTAGAACTAACAATAATAATAATCAACCCTTTTACTTTAACAGGTTATAAGCCCGGAGGGCACTACCTTTTCTCCAACCGCAAAGCTAAGTGTTTTCTATCTTCTTTTCTAATTTTCCTAGATAGCACAAGAAGTCGAAAGGCTTCCTTCCACTGCGCATATATATTCAGCTTACCTAGAGCTATTTTTCCTTTATTAGATATTTCATGGAGTTTGGAAATCAACTAACAGGATATGTCTAGAAACCTTTCCAGAAGGACCCTTTGACCCTCTATCCAAGACACCGAATTTGAATCGTCAATCTTAAATAATTAAGAGACTTCAGATTATAGTCTGGCTGACGAACTTGCCCAACCAGACCGGTCCCTTTATCTGAGATTATTAAAGCTCCTCGGTCGGGTGACCTGCGCCCTCATAGACCAAGACCACCTAAAACGTGGTTTGTAATATAGTCGACCTCAGATTATTATCTCTTCTCCCGACAGCGGGAATGATACAAATAACTAAGACCGCTATGCGTTTTACCTTTCGGATAGTCTCTACCTGGCTCGGATAACCCCTATCTATGCGGTATTATTATGTTGCCTAACGAAGGAAAGACTCCCCCCTAAGCCTTGACCAAAGAATTGTTAATAGCCGTCTGTCCCTCTGTACCTTAATCATCAGCCTCCCCGAGAATCCATTATGTCCCTCTCCAAGGAATCTCTTAACCTTATAGGCAGCTCCGGCACTATTCCAAAGCTGGAGCAAACCAGCCACTGGCTGACCTGGAAGAGAGAAATACTCGACCTTCTGGATATATGTAGATATAGAGATCTTCTGACTAGGAACACATGCTTAACCACCAACAGAGGGGAACGATCTTGCAACTCAGATTGAGGCCTGGAGGAGCCGCCAGGATCAAGCATGCGGCGCTATTCGAAGTCGACTCGGCTACAACGCCCGAGTGTTTACCATGGGGATCCCGATAGCACAGGGTATAATCAGTTACCTTAAAACCCAGTATCGCCCCGTTAGAAGCGCCATCTTCCAAGAGCTTAACCGAAGATATTAAGAACTCACCCTTGACTCTTGCGATTCGGTTATAGAATACGCAAATAAGCTTCGTCAAGTAAGGGCTAAACTCTTAGAGATAGATAAAATCTGCCAGATAGGGGAACCACACTTTATTAATAAGTTCCTCTGCAGACTTGGCCCAGACTATGAAGTCTTCCTCACTGTATTTAATCAGAATTATAATATTCTTCCTATCCGAGATCTAAATAATCATAATATTATTCTCAAAGAGGCCATTACATTTAAAACAGCCATCTTTACCACATCTCAGGAAGAGGACAAACAAAGAGGAGCCACTGCAAGGATTACATATAAAGCCATAGTAGCCCAGGGCACCCCATGCTATAGATACTATAGAAGAAAAGGGCATAATAAGTCAACTTACTAGAAGCTTTACCCTGAACTTAGAAGAGAGTATAGCAAAGCTAGTTATAAGAGATAATAATAGAAAATACAGAGTTAAGAGAAGGACAGGGAGAAGATAACTAATGAACTAGAATCTGCCACGTATATGACTCCTGTATACCTTTAACCTAATTAAGCTCGACTAGCTCTCTGGCAAAATAACTTCCAAGGTCACCTTGGATTGATTGGCTTGTTATTTGGACTGTCTGGTCTCCAGGTATCCCTCTAAACTTAGGCCCTTGAATAGATCCACGTCTTGGATAATAGCGCCTCCTTGCATATTTTCTATTAATACGAGAACTTTATAGTCCTTTAAAAGTATTATAGATTACCTATTAATGGCATTATAGATGCAAAAGTCATACCAGGAGGATATAGAACATACTGCCTCCGTGTGCAAGGGCCTAAGGGGTTATATAACGTTACCCTTAATAGCGCTCTGTATGTTCCAGAAGGACACGCTAACCTCTTATCTGTATCAGCACTAGAGAAGAAGGGTGCAGAGGTTATCTTCCGAAATGGAAAGGCAGAGGTCATAAATAAGGGAAAAGTTGTCCTTACTGCGATAAGAATCTTAGGTATCTATGTAGTTAACGAAGCTGAGGAAGATTATTTTTAAACCGCTTTGGCCTCCTTTTTAGTAAGAGATCCTCGACTACACCTTTGGCATGAGCGACTTGCACATTTAGGAGAGAGGAATATCAAGAGACTGATAAAGATATCTACTGGAATTCGACTAGATAATTCTACCTTAAACCCATGTGGAGCCTGCATATAGGGCAAACTCAGGGAATATCCCTATATCTGACTAATCAAGAAAGGCACTTACCCTCTAGAGTGTATTTATATAGATATTGCCAGACTATTCCCAGATATAGAAGTAAATAGAAGCAGGTACTAGGTTTGCCTTATTAATAACTTTACTTAAATATCCTAGGTATACCTAGTCAAAGAACGGTCAGAGTTTAAAGAGTGTTTCTATTATCTGTTGCTATAGTTCGAGAGACCGGAAAGATAATATTACTTCCTGCACCTTGACCGAGGGGGAGAGAACCAAAGCTATAGCCTGACCTAACTATGCCAGGACAGAGGAATTAAACTCTCTTATATAGGAACTAAACAGCATAAATAAAATAGATTAGCTAAAGTCCTTAATCGAATCATCCTGGAAAAACTTACACCGATACTACTTAAATCCAGACTTGCTTTGAAATGGTGGCTGTACTTCCTTAAGGTAGTAAACTATATCTGAAATCTCTGTCCTATGGCGAGCATTTCCACTACCCCGTACCAAGCCTGGTATAGAGATGTTCCTGACCTTAGCTATCTGCGAGTTCTTAGCTTACGAGGATAGGCTCTGCTTTTATCCTCTAAATGAAAGAAGATGTAATCAAAGAGTATTCCTTACCAGCTTCTCGGCTATTAGGGCAGTATAAACTATATACTCCTTAACGAAAGGGGACAAGTCTTTATATCTAATAATATTATCTTCTCTAAGACTATTAAAAATATTAAACTAACACTTAATAATCTCACGCATTAAATATATAATCAGAGACTATCACAGAGACAATAAGTAATTAGCAAAAAGGATAGCAATACAGAAAATCCTATTATTCTAGAGCCGTTGCCCCTCCTGATAGCATTGAGAGAGGCGAATAAAAGCAGGGAAACCGGTCGTGGAGAGACGATGCTGGATAAGCCCCCAGTGGGAGATATAGGATAGGATCCAGACTAAGAGTTAACCAGATTAAGTATTTATATTGCCACAGATGAGCGCGAAGTGTCATCGGAAGAAATAGAGGAGTATGCAGAGTCTTAGCTGCCCGAAAGATTAACCAGGGGACAGCTGCCATCGAGATATATACTAGCCAGCATAAAGTTCGCCTTCCTAGCAACGGTTATAGAATAACTATATCTAGTTGCTTGCAATATCAATTAGTCCGAGCTAAGAACCTTTAAGGAAGCCACGCAGGGTATATATGGAAAACTCTGGTGGGGAGGATTAAAGGATAAACACGGATCTCTGGTTAAGAATAATATCTAGACCTTAGTTACGCTTCCCCCAGGACAAAAGGCCCTTTAAGGCAAATAGGTGTTTAAGCTCAAAAGAGGAGAAAATAGGCAAGTTCTATAATATAAAGCGCGATTTATTATAAGAGGTTTTAAGCAAAGGGAAGGAATTAACTTTAACAAAACCTTTACCTCTGTTATTAAGCCGATAAGCTATAAGATGATATTCGCCATTGCAGCAGCGCTCGATTTAGAACTGGAACAGATGGATATTAAGACGGCCTTCCTCTATGGCCTCGTAAATAAGGAGATATATATCCAGCAACCCGAAGGATTTAACGATGGAAGTAGGAGAGTCTACAAGCTCCTGAGAGCCTTATATAGACTAAAGCAAGCACCAAGGGTATAATACGAGACTCTCTTAACCTTCCTCAAGACGCTTAGGTTTAAGGCTTTACTTTCAGATACAGGAGTCTTTATAAAAGGTTATACGTTTATTGCAGTCTATATGGACGATCTACTTATTGCCAGGCCCTCCAAGGACGAGATCATAGCGGTCAAGCAAGCTCTATACAACAAATTCAAGATAACCAACCTAGGTCCATGCAAATACTACCTAGGCATATCTCTAAGAAGAGACAAAGCAAACTAATCGATTTTCTTATTATAGACAACCTACCTTAAGAAAGTACTTAGAGACTTTAGAATAAACCAATACGCTCCCAATGCCACACCAGTTTTAACTAGCAAGTTCAGAGAACCAGGCCCTAATTATAAGGCAGCAGATAAACTTAAAGAGTGGTATGCCAAGGCGATTGGGTCCCTGATATATCTTATGCTAGGGATAAGACCCGATATTGCTTTTGCTATCTCCTTATGCAGTCGACACCTAGCAAACCCAACTAATAAGCATTAGATAGCTATTAAGCATATCTTTTAATACCTCAAGGGATTGCAAAATCTAGAACTAGTATACTAAGGTGAACTGCAACCTCTCCTCGGCTACACCAACTCGGATTAGGCAGGAGATCTGGAGACTTAAAGATTAATATCTAGATATATGTTTAACCTTGGTATGGGCGCTATCAGTTAGAGCTCGAAGAGATAAAGAACTATGGCCCTGTCTTTATGCAAAGCAGAATATATAGGGTAAACCGCAGCCGCAAAAGAAGTAGTCTGGCTGCGAGGTCTGCTCTAAGAGCTATTAAAAGAATACAGGGAGGTTCCAGAACTAAAGATAACTATAATCTTCGGGGATAACCAAGGAGCAATTGCAATATCTAAGAATCTGCAGTTCTATATAAAAACCAAGCATATTAATATTTAGTATTATTACTATAGAGAGAAGGTTAATAATAGAACTATTAAGTTCTAGTACATTTTAACAGGTAAATAAGTAGCCGATAGCCTAATAAAGGCCTTACCAAAGGATTATTTCCTTCTATTTAGAAATGCACTAGGTCTTAAAGAATGATAACTATAAGAAGGTGCAGAGATAAACCAAAACAGGAGACCTGCCATAGATAGACAGGAGACTCACGGATCCAAGATTGCATAGAAACGTAAAGAAGGCATAAAGGTAAGGTAAAGTGGGAGAGCTTCTAAGCAAGTAGAAGGAAAGCCATAATCTCAAGGTTATGCCAAGTATAAGGAATATGCAAAGATAGACTGAAGTAGGAGACCTATTATAGACAGGAGACCAGCAATTTCAAGAAAGATTTCAAGACCTGCAGAGACGGATGTAGGCAGGGGACCTTCTGCGGATAGAAGACCTGCAATCACAAGATCGCAAGACCTGCAGAGATGGGCATAGGCAGGAGATCTTCTATGTATAGAAGAAGACCAACAAGTTCAGGATTGCATTAGACTAAGAGGAAAGGTGCAAAAATGAACTTAGAGGGAGATCTTCTGCGGACAGAAGAAGACCCACTGCTCTAAGATTACACGAGACCATTAAGAGATCCTGAGCGCCCTTATTAAGATAGCTCTTTCCCTGCAGTTTTCACCTACGAAGGTGTTTTTGGGGTTTTAACGAGGCTCGATAGGCGTGCACATCGAGTCCAACAGTAGCTCGAGTAGGAGTGTTAAGACAGTATGGCTAAGGTGGTCTGATCTGCTGGTGGCTAGGATGTGGATACTATGTAAGGAGCTGTGCTCCTCTCAGACATATGTAACTTAGAACTAACAATAACAACAATCAACCCTTTTACTTCAACAGGCATCATGGACCATCCAGAGGGTCTCACCAAGGACGGATACGAACTACAGTCCGGAACGAACTTCCTTGGCCACGCTCTCCTTATCCGGCTGCTCCTGCCCATCATGCAGCGAACCGCGCTGCAGACGGGGCCGGGGGACGTCCGCGTCGTGAGTCTGACATCAGGGTCACATGCTCGAGCGCCGCTGGCGGGGATTCTATTTCACTCGCTCAAGACCGACGCCAGCTCCCTCTCAGCAGTCGAAAGGTATGGCAAGAGCAAGCTAGCCAATGTCTTATATGCCAAGGAGCTGGCCTACAGAATCCCTGATATTCGAATAGCATCTGTAAATCCAGGAATGGTGAGAACAGGTTTGACAGATGTGATGGGCAAGAACAACTTGACCTATCGTGTGATTCTGTCTGTCTTGTCTCCCATTATGGGGGTCTCGGTTGAGAAGGGAGTCAAGGCGCAGCTCTGGGCATGGAACTCCCCGGAGTACATCTTGAAGAACTCGGTCGGCTCGGTGGGATGGTTTCTAGTGACGTCGTGAAATGCCGTCATGGAGATGTAGTTGGTCTTGCCCTCGCGGACCAGGCGGTAATACTCCAGGATGTACCGCTATTCCGAGTCGTCGCTCTCGGACTGGGCGCACAGCACCTTTCTCGCCTCGGTCCTGCGTGAGTGCATTAGCACCGATGCCTTTGGTTTCACGCCGGGCAAGTATTGGCGCTGCGTACTCGGAGATGTTTTCAAACTCCATTTTGACGCCGAGCGCTTGGCTCGCGGCCGTCGCGAGCTCCTCGCCCGCGCAGAGCATAAGACCTGGACACCGCGTGAGTGATGCTGTTCCTTTCCAAAGAGTCATCGCCAGGACATACCCGTGACCACCATCATCTGGCCCCGATGCTTGTCGTCGAAGCCGTGCTGGCCCTTGCCGGTGAGGACGTGCGCGGCAACTTGGGCGACGTCCTATCGACGCTTCAGACTACCGACGTCTCGAGATCACAAAGGGGGGGAACTTGCGCCGAGAGCGACCGGTGCGAACTTGTGGCCTGTTCCGATCTGCAGCGGGAGAATGCCGTCCTTCTGCGCCTGCGGGGCGTAGAAGAGGAGATTATCTGCGTAGAATCCCGCCCTGACATCCGCGTCAGTCACCCCCTTCCCTGCGAGGTTAAGACTCACCGGATGACGACCGGGGAATGACCCAGCTGCGTGGCAAAATTTCCCTTGGCGGAGAGGGTCAGGCTCTCCAGGTCAATGAACTCTTGTAGCTGAGGTTGCCTCTGGGGACCAGCGTAGTTGCACCCCAGGGGGTTGATGAGGCAGACGTTGGCGACGTTCGACATCGCGGCTGCGTTAACGAGCTCGGCAGAAATGTCGAACTTGCTGGGATGCGCGGGCGGGATGAGGCAGATGGTGTCGCAGCCCGTGTCCTTGATGACCTTTGTGACCTCGCGCTGGCAGCCGAGGACGTGTTGCACGACCTTGGCGCCCATCGACTGGAGCTCCTTCGCCTCGGGAGACGACGGGTCCATGGTGAGGGCCGTGATTGAGTCGACCTTGCGCATAAAGGCTTGGAAGGACTCGCTCCGGCTTGTAGGCTTGTCTTGAAGCAGACTGCGTGGGTTCGAAGTGAATATGTACTCTAGACACCTGCCCCGATTCATCAAGCGTCTTGCTTGTAACGGCAATCAAACATTGGTACACCACAGAGATTTTTCGAATTTTCTACTCCTACAAAATATAAGACTTCTTGCAATTAGCCATGACTGTAGAATATCCTTCCAAGTGGCCCATTACGGCCATCTCTATTCCGACACAAAGTGCAATAAGCCGTGCCAAAATGAACAGCGCCTTCATCGACGAGCCTCGCGGTTAGCCCCGGCTGACCTTGGCTGATCCTCCTCGAACTGGTTAGCGAAGGCCTGCAACACGGTCTCGCGGAGGGCTGTCACTAAAACCGAACCATGACTGTTCTGGTGAAGGTTTATGGGTGCAGACGTCACCATGACCGACATCCGCCATGACAACCATCTTCACATGTGCCCACCATGATAAACCTTTTCTCTCAGCTCATGACCTTTCTGCTTCCTTAACTTCATCTGATGTGTTCTCTCCTAACATTGTGCAGGGTCTTCCCGTCGGCGCCAAGAATATACAAGCCGGCCTTATGAACAAGTAGTCGTACATGATCGTAACTTGGAGAACAGGACTACGTTCCGCAATGAGTGGATGCGGCAGCATCGGCCGCTGACGGACATTACGGCGGAAGAACCCAGATTACAAATGGTGTGCGAAGTTGACGGCGCGCAAATAAGCTTCGGGCACCGTCTCCAGATAGAACCGGCTCATCCGATCAGTCGCCGTATAAAGCTTCGAGCACTCCTGATCAGAAAATCGAGACATCCACATCATCTCAACAAGTTCTGACTTAGCCCCAAGTTTTTCGACTATCCATTCAGCATTTTCAATCGTTCATCATGCGTTTCGACCTTCAAACCCTCTTTCTCTCCGCGCTCGCCGTTACCACAGTCTCGTCCACCCCCATAGACGAGCCCACCATGGTGGAAAGATGTGCCACGACCTGCAGCCAATACTGCTCACCCCGGCCAGCAACTCTAGAGCAACAGCGAGAAATCTTCGCCAAGTTCGTCGCAACCGCCATCGGCCAACGCGACTTCTACAGGGCGTACAAAACGTTCGCGGCCGACGATGTTATCCAGCATAACCCTGCCATCATGTCGGGACTGCAAAATACTCTGGACTTCTTCAACTCGCAGCCTAACCTCGCCAGCACAAAATACACCATCATTAACACCAACTTTGGCGACAACCACATTGGGTACTTCCACTACCGTGTAGACATTGCCCCTGACGAGGAGCCTTTCGCTGTAGTGGACTTTTACCGCTTCAATGGAACATGTATCCAAGAGCATTGGGACGTGGTCCAGCAGTATGACGTTAACTCGCCTAATCCACTGGCTCTGTTTTGAGAGGAGTAGGCAATGATGCGACCGAAGGGTGCTAGGTTGGCAGTAAAGAAGCCTCTACTTTCTCAAGATGTAGACGGCCTGGCGTTTGTTTGGCTGTGACCGGGAAACATGTTGTAGCGAGGTCAAGGTCCGGAAGTAATGTCTTAGCTCCAGGAGAGCTCCTGACACTACCTTATATTATAACCCAAGTTGATCGCGATCCTCGGCAACAACGTCAGTTGGTTCTGCGACATGTGCAGGTCCTACGGCGGAAATTACATTTGTTCCGTTTTCAACTGCTCTAGTTTGGTCTGCCCTAAAGCTTTGAGCATTGATGAATGATGTCCGTTCTTTCGTCATCAAGATCACGCCGTGGCTAGAAGGACGGGAGCTCAGAGGGCACTGGCACCGGAAAGAAACTAGAAGTAGTGTCTACTGCTATAATAATGCTAAGATTTGTTTGTCTCCATGTGTTTACGTTCTGCTGTAAGGACGCGGATAACCCGCAGATAGATCGGTGGGTGCGGAGAAGCCATTGGGAGAAAGTTGAGAATGCGGTGTCACTGAAGCGAAAACTGCCTATGCAAGCAGCCATGCCCCACGGCCGCTTCACATCAACAGCAGTACCACCGCTGACAGAATGAACTACGAAGACCCACTTCTACAGGCTTTTCTCGTGTCGACGTCTCCCCCCCGTTTAAACCCAAGCGAACATGGCGAGACCATTCTATACCTCTCCATCCATGAGCTTGCCGCCATTAATAGGTCCCGTGGCCATGCTCCCTACGCAAATGTACGTTATGGTTTGATTACATTGTCAAATGTGCCCATAGGCAGCACCAACCTATCAGGTAAAGCTCTCCCCTTAACGAAACCGACAACTGTGCTCTCGTCTTGAACTACACGCACGGTAAACCGCATGCCGTCTGCCAGTGCCCATCTCAGAGTTCAGTCCGCTCTAAGGAAACGCATCAGGGTAGGTATAGTTGATTGTGGAGAAGCGGAATGTTGCGGGATCGTGGGGTCGTTGAGTGTGGAAGAGACGCACATCCATTCTAGGGCCGGTAAATTCTCCGCCCCTCAGGAATCGCAGAAACTCTACCTACAATTACTGTCGCATCCGACCTCTTCCAGAACACCCGCATTATCCACTCGCATTAACAGAGAGACTAGTTGCTTAATCCCCAAGTGGCACCTGGCTATGAGAGCCCTATTAGCCCTATAATTATACCTACCGCTATTTTAGCCTGTAAAAATTCTCTGCCCTAGTAGAACGCTAACCGCGGGTGCCAAAGAATTCTTTTCTACAGGAGAGAGTTAATAGATCCGAGAATGTATGTATGTATGTATGTATGTATATTTTTCGTCCGGGGGGCCGTAGGCCCCAAAAAGTCTCCTAATGGAGCACAGGACGTGCTGAGCTAAACTATCTACAATCGCTGCCGTGCTGATTCTCGCTCGGATCCTCTGCAAGGCCTCTTGCGTCGGAGCCGTATATATGCTTGAGCGTTTTTTGTACTTATCCCCCCAAGAGGCACCTCTCTACTCGTAGCCAGCTCTATAGTAGTTGTCGGTGAAGCACGTCCCATGGACATCAATACAGTTGATCTTAGCAGAGCTTCCCTCCAGCAACGCTTCTATCTAGTTCATCCAGCATATCATCGGCACAAATGGCGCATCTTATCGAGCCTGTTACCCGTCAGCGGGATGGCAAGGCGTAGCTGACATATCGCAGCCGCTTTTGGAGCCTGGAGTCAGGGAGGCTGAGATTAGCCTGTGCATATGGCAGTCTGAGGCTGCCTTAAGGTAGTCCCGGCTAGACGAGGGGCGCTGCAACGCTCTTCATCTGGCCGTGAGTATACGTAAGAAAAGGAAAGGAAGGTAACAAAAGAAATACGTGGAAGATAAAGAAGGAAAGAGAGTTGCGAGTACTTCTCTTATTATCGTCGCCTAATAGCAAGGGCATATCTTTCCAAAGAACTTACTGTCCTTAGATAGGTCAATAAACTTGGTAAAGTCTTTCCCTATTGCTAGATTGACTGTTATATTCGGCAAGGGTGCTAGCCTTAACCAATAGCACGGCGGTACCTTTCTGCAGTAGAAGATATAATCCGGTGCTTTGCGTCAGCCGCATGAACAGACCAGGCGTGCGTCGTCGTGGTCGAATCTCTTATAATATGTGGCGAAATCCCCATGGAGGGACCTCGCTGCCAGCAGATGGTGCAAGGCTGTACGCAGGAGCGAGAGCTCCGGCAGGCAGCCTGTGGTCGCCTTGAGATTAAGTCTCTTGTACTGCTTGGGAGCAGACGTAGATTACTATGCCTCGAATACTTCTTTCGGTTTTTATCTTGCGATTCTTTGCAAATAAGCCAGCGTTAGTTAAGCATCTTCGGGCTCGGGGAGTGATAACGCTACTCTTGCCAGTTTATCGGCCTGTTTATTGCCGGGAATATCGGTGTATCCTGGCACCTAAAGGACCTGGATGGCTCTATGCGATGTTGCCAGAGCCTGGAAATCGAGAAAGACATCTTAGGAGGAGTCGGAGGGTGTACCTCGCAGGCAAGTAGCGGCCGCGAGGTTATCTAGGCAAATAAAGATGTTCTGTGTTGCTGCATCTCGCAGGTTTAGGGCAGCCTTGAGGCCCTCCAATGCCCCGGTAGCTTCAGCGTCGAAGACCTCAGCAGGTCCAAGGCGACCCGATCCGTCAAAGGGTGCCTGCAATTATGTTATGTTATGTTATGTATATTTTTCGTCCGGGGGGCCATTGGCCCCGAAAAGTCTCCGAGGGGAGCACAGGACGTGCTGAGCTAAACTATCTACAATTACTGTCGCATCCGAATCTACCTAGAACACCCACAATGTCCACTTGCATCAACGGAGAGCGCCGGACGCCCTTTCCCCCAAGTGGCACCTGCCCTACTCGTAGCCAGCCCTACGGTAGTTTCAAACACATCGTCTTGGACGTCAAAGCAGGTGATCCTGGCAAAGTTGAATGCACCCGTTCTTCCATCTAGTTCATCCAGCATATCATCGGCACAAAGGCGCATTTACTTTCAAGAGGTCATCCCGTCAGCGGGATCTATTCCTCTCCAGCCTAGAATTCTCTTGCACAGATAGATCAAGTAGCTTTCCATACCCTGAGGCAGGAAGTCCATCATCCCCTAAGATCGCCAGTAGCTGCAACCTAGGACCATACATCCTTGGGGAAACCCCTCGCAGGGAAAAACCCAAGGCGGCTAGAACGCTGCTCTGTGGACAAGGCAGTCGCCTCGTTCCACGGTCTCCAGGTAAGCTCTGTACCGTTTCGACCCAGCGGTTTATGTCTAGTAGTCTCAGCCAGTGAGACATATCGTCGAGGCCCGGTGGTGTTCTGGGCAGCAGCCGAGGCTGCAGAAAGAAAGAGGAGAGTCTCTAGGTAATATGCGACTGCAGAGATCGGTCAAGCAGCTTCCAAGCTGCAAAAAGGGCAACGAACCATGTGGGGTCTGTGCATCAAGGTCGAGGGCACCAGAGGGCCCAGAAAGTCAAGCAGCCGAAGGCTGTTTGTGTTGTTCAGGCAGCCAAAGCTGCAGAGGTCAGTCAAGGCAGCGTTAAACTGCAGGCGAAGGTGAGAGTGAGGGTGAGGGCATGATGACCCTCGATGTTAAGCAGCAAGATGCTGCGAATGTCGTCTGGGCAGCCGAGGCTGCAGAAGTCGGTGTTACAGGAAGTCGAGGGGCACAGAGGCCGGAATGTCGCAGGCTCGCGAAGCCGAAATGTCGAGGTGAGAAGAAGTCGCAGATAAGACAAATGAAATGGTGCCCGGAGGCGATGTCAAGAGCCCGCGAAGCTCAGTGCCGTTGAAAACACTTGTTACGAAGAAAGGTTAACTCTCTGAATCCCTTTCTTCCAGCAGCTGTTAGGGTCCCGCTAGTCCCGCAGCTGCTTTTGTTGCCATTTTGGCCTGTAAAAATTTTCTGCCCTAGCAGAACGCTAACAGCGGGTGCCAAGGAAAATTTTTTACAGGAGAGAGTTGTGCCTGCAATTACAGGATGTAACCCATGTGTCGCAGGGTAGGCATTAGTAATCTAGCTATATGCTTTAAGTAACTCTGCGGGATGGAATACCACGCACAAGAGATAACTTAAGACATCAATCAACACATTTGCTGCTGCTCATCATATTCACTCTAACCCTTTAAGCACGCTCAGTGCGACAGTAAGTGAAGTTGTTGATTTTTGGTGGTGGCTTTTTTATTTTGCTTGCCGAAAGAGGGGTTGTGGATGGTACCTCATTGGTAGATTGGCGGCTGGGAAAGGGCTCCAGTTTCCTTTATCATAATATTATTCTTGTATCAAGAAAAGGAGGGGGAATTGAACCGACCGCTCCCTGACAGACTGATCAAAAAGAATCAAGTCGACAATCAACAACATCACAATATTCTGCTGCACAGCTTAATACACCCACCCCATCGTATAGCTGCGTATCCAACAACACCTAAAAAGACAGAACAGAGACAGAAGAAAAAGGACGAGCTTCTGGGGACTAGATTGATCCTTAAATGTGAAAATTAACCTCATTTTAATTGGACATCGAACCTACTCTCGTATCCAACATTTCCCAGCCGACAATCTTACAAGGATCTGCCCCACCTCAAGCACTGGGGTCCAATGAGCGGCCAGTAACATGATTGACCAACGTCTGCAAACCGCCAAGATAAGATTATTGTCATGGCAACGCAGTGAAGAAACAGAAAACAACATGACGCCATCCCCCAATGTCTAGAAGATCCCAAACCAAGCATATGCCTACACCAGAACAGCCATTAGCAACCCCACGTAAAGTCATGTCGCTCGACCAGCGTATACAATCGTGGCTACAACAAATCGAACCTGCATCAAAGGACAAGCATTCCGCGAAGCGCCGTCGATTAAATCCCCCGACTCCAGAGCCGTCGCGAAGCGGCCACAGCATGGGTTCCAGCAGATCTACAAAGCGCCGCGCAAATGACGCGCACGATGACATGGAGGATACCTTTGAGACGCCGCGGCCGCTGAAACTCAAAGCCCCGAGAAGTGAATCTGGTACCTCTTTACCTTCGTCATCAGCTGCATCGTCCAAGTCTGGGTACTACTCGCCAACGAAACAGTTGCGTAACCTAGAGTTTCACCCCAGAGGCGTTGACCCTAGAGAGCTTAAGGACTTTCACAATAAGCCAGCTAGCTTAAAAACGCTCTTGCAAAAGATTGATCACAGTTCGTCCGGTTTCGGGATTCTGCCATTGTCACAGCGCGCTTTGATGGATGAACTGGATGACGAGATTTACAACGACTTCGAATGGGCAAGACAACCACCTTTCAGAGATATATATTTCTCGAATGATCGTGATAACCTGGGTCATACACCACCGCCGGAAATAATCCAGACGATTCTTCATGAGGCAGGTGAATGCAACAAGAGAGGCTGCTCAGAAGCGCATTGGAACGTCGAGGTTCATCATTTAGTGCTGAAAGCCGCAGTGAGACCCTTGCAGGGTCCACGGTCGAATCAGTTCTTTGACTTCCTTCTCAGGTGAGATTCTTGTCTGGCGCGACATGTGTTAATCATACTGACCGATTCAGCACCACCGCGTCGATCTTGCCCGAGTACCAAGCGACATCAGCGTCTAAGAAAGTTGATTTTTGCATGTATACCGATCCGAGATTTGGTGGATCGTCACAAATCTCCGAAACCATCCTGGCTTTGAGGAATGTTTTACCCATGGGCATTTTCAACCACGCCAACCTAGCTCCGCTGTCCGACCGCCCCATCGCAGTCAGCATCGAAACTAAAAAGACAGGCGAAGGGTGGGAAAACGCTCGACTACAAATGGAAGTATGGATGGCAGCCCACTGGCAATTCCTACGCAAGCTTCTGGAACTACGACGCCTCGCAGCAGAGGCAGTATCTTCTCTGAAACAAACAACCGAGGGCGTGACACTTGATCCGGAAGAGAAATGTAAACTACCAGAGTTTCTCCCTGGTATTATCATTCAGGGGCACGATTGGCATCTTGTCATCACGACGCCGGATGGTGAAAAGACTCTTTTTTGGCAAAAGAAGAATTTCGGTCAGACATCTGAGTCCAAAGGGATTTATACGATTATTTACAATTTGCAACTGTTGCGAAGATGGGCGCAGGAGGAGTATTGGAAATGGATGAGGGAATTGTTACTTGGATGGCCACGGCATAAGGGGGAAGTGTTTGTCGTTGGAGCTTATTGATAAGTTTATCTTGATCTCCATCTTGGAGTTTATTGCACCGTATAGGCAAGCGATTAGTCTAGAAATTATTATACCCTTATATTATAGTACAGCTTTTATTTTTTGTTGGTTGTTTATAGGGGCTTATAAGGTGTGCGTACCATCATTGGCAATATTCCATACTCAGGCCAAAGCAATAGCAAGCGTCGATTCTTGAAAAGGACCCAGTCATGATATTAGGGATACATTTATTACCGTATCATTAAATAAAATCCGCTTTTTGTATTAACGTGAATCACTAGTATGTTATGTTATGTTATGTTATGTTATGTTATGTTATGTTATGTTATGTTATGTTATGTTATGTTATGTTATATTATGTTATGTTATGTTATGTTATGTTATATATATTTTTCATCCGGGGGGCCGTCGGCCCCAGAAGTCTCCTAATGGAGCACAGGACGTGCTGAGCTAGAGAAATCGGAATCTATCTATACACTAATTGCAGAAATGCTATTGGCCATAAAGGATTAGTCGTTCGCGACGCGAATTTAGTCTCTCCCATGGCGTCCAATTTCTGCAAACGCGTCAGTGAACCGCACTCTATCCAGCATATCATCGGCACAAATGGCGCATCTTATCGAGCCTGTTACCCGTCAGCGGGATGGCAAGGCGTAGCTGACATATCGCAGCCGCTTTTGGAGCCTGGAGTCAGGGAGGCTGAGATCAGCCTGTGCGTATGGCAGTCTGAGGCTGCCTTAAGGTAGTCCCGGCTAGACGAGGGGCGCTGCAATGCTCTTCATCTGGCTATGAGTATATGTAAGAAAAGGAAAGGAAGGTAATAAAAGAAATATATGGAAGATAAAGAAGGAAAGAGAATTATAAGTGCTTCTCTTGTTATTATCGCCTAATAGCAAGGGCATATCTTTCTAAAGAACTTACTGTCCTTAGATAGGTTGATAAACTTGATAAAGTCTTTCCTTATTGCTAGATTAACTATTGCATTTAGTAAGGGTATTAGCCTTAACCGATGGCGCGGCAGTACCTTTCTGCAGTAGAAGATATGATCCGGTGCTTTGCATCAGCCGCATGAACAGACTAGGCGTGCATCGTTATGGTCGAATCTCTTATAATATGTGGTAAAATCCCTATGGAGGGACCTCGCTGCCAGCAGATAGTGTAAGGCTATATGCAGGAGCGAGAGCTCCGGTGGGCAGCCTGTGGTCGCCTTGAGATTAAGTCTCTTGTACTACTTAGGAGTAGACGTAGACTACTATGCCTTAAATGCTTCTTTTGGTTTTTGTCTTATGATCCTTTGTAAATAAGCTAGTATTAGTTAAGTATCTTCAGGCTCAGGGAGTAACAACGCTACTCTTGCCAGTTTATTGGCCTATTTATTGCTAGGAATATTAGTGTATCCTGGCACCTAAAGGACCTAGATGGCTCTATGCGATATTGCTAGAGCCTGGAAATTAAGAAAGATATCTTAGGAGGAGTCAGAGGGTATACCTCGCAGGCAAGTAGCGGCCGCAAGGTTATCTAGGCAAATAAAGATATTCTGTATTACTGCATCTCGCAGGTTTAGGGCAGCCTTAAGGCCCTCTAATGCCCTGGTAGCTTTAGCGTCGAAGACCTCAGCAGGTCTAAGGCGACCTAATCCGTCAAAGATTAGGATATTGTTCTAGTGGATGGTAAAGCCGTAGCTGGCTACTCCTTCTGAGGACAGAGAGCCATCGGAGTATATAACCAAAGTAAGCAAGTCGAGAGACTCGACCCAGCGGATAAAGGCGTCGGCCGATTTCTCTTTCGATGCTATCTGGAGCGGAGGTATCTGTTCTTTATAGAAGTATCACTAAACGAGTTTAGGCCGTGAACAGGATGCCAAGAGTTCGTCTATGCATCGAAGACGTGTCCTAAAGATGCTTTCTGTCTGTATTTAGTATCTTCGCTTAATGAGGTTATAGTAAGTAGGTTAGTGAGGCCGGCGTGGCGGGCGCGTTCGGCCCGCCAGAGGGTAAGCTTCATCCAACGATTTAAGTTGCGCAGAGAATCTAAGTCGCCTTGCTTCAAGCAGTTAATCGACTAGTAGTATACTGCTTTCTCTTTGTAGGATGGCGGTAGGTGTCGTCTTCCAGATAGGAAGTATGGCTCTTATCGCCTGGTTTATAGCTTTAGTTATTATTTAAACGAGGTGCTGATTACTGGATGGTAGGTCCTTTGTGGGCTGGTTCTAACGTGGCCTGGACCTGCCTGGGTACCACGCCTCAGAGCCATGAAGTAATACTAGCTCGACATATGCTCTGATGGCACTTCGAACGGCGCTCGGCAGAGGGCCGTGTATCATGTTAGTAAGGCCTCGTAGATGGTAGGCCACTGCCTTTGCTTTAGCCGCCCACTTCTCGACATGAACTTAGAACAATAGTCTGCTATCTAGCCAGATGCCAAGCCAGCGCAGAGCTGATTCGGGGTGCTTCTCTATATTATCGTGGCATACTGCTGGAGCAGTACTAAGCTTGCTATGGGAGAAGTGCATAACTTCGGTCTTCTTCGTATCAAAGGAAACGCCGTTTGCTGCACCCTATCGCACCATCTTGGCGATAGAGCTAGATGCCATAGCAGTGGTCTTATCTACTATGTTACCTATAGATAGGATAGCCGTGTTATCTGCATAGCCGAAACGACCTCGTAGGTTGCCCAGTCGGTAGATTGGCTCGGTGTAGAGCAGAAAGAGTATCGGCGATACTGGCGACCCCTGAGGGAGGCCGCACTGGAGGGGAGAAGAGGGCGTGATGATGTCCTGGTACCTGATATGCGCAGACCGGCCGCCCATAAAGGAGCCAGTCCAGCGAGCCAGATGGTTAGGCTAGCCCTGTTTGCGGAGATGCAGGATGAGCCTATTGCATATAACGGTGTCGAAGGCGCCCTGAATATCTATTGTTACCAGAGTCGCTACTTTCTTGCATGTAAACGCTTCTTTGATGTCGTGGATCAGGGCAGTCACTAGGTCTATTGCCGACCTCTTGGGCAGCGCTCCAGCTTGCTGCAGATGAAGGACACTGTAGTGCATAGCTGCCCAGGCTAGGCGGCGCGCAATCAGTCGCTTAAGTCCCTTGCCGAGGCAAGAGAGCAGTGAGATGGGCCGCCATGCTTGCGGCTCTGTGAGGTCTCTGCGTCCTGGTTTCGCGATTATGACTACCTCGGCCTCCTTGAATGGTTTTGGATGATGGCCTATGGTAAGGCACCTTTCGAAGAGACGGTGGATGTGTGTCCTGATGATGTGCTATACTGCTTCGAGAAGTTTGACTGTAATGTTGTCTGACCCGGGGGATGTGTTGCCTGTGCTGAGGGTTGCGTATTGCACCTCTTCTATGGAGATCTCCGAAGGGAGCGGTATTAGTCTATGAGGAGTGAGAGGCATCTAAGGGTTTGTAATGTCGTCTTCTGCAGTTCTGTGTTCTAATGTGGCTTATCGGAGTGCATTGGCTTTATCTATCTGGCTTTCGTATACGACGTTATCGACCTGTAGAGGTGGCGGCTGGAAGGCTCCTGGGGACTTTAGCCACCGGATAGCTTTGAAAATATCGCTACTGCTAGAGAAGCCATTGATAAGGTTATGCCAATAGCGTCTCTTGGCCCGACGGACCACGCGATGAAAACCTCTTTTGGCGATCTGAATGTCCTGGTTGAAGCTGAGTAGGTAGCTTCTTCTGATGGCTTGAAAAGCAGCCGCGGCGTCGGCGTACTCCTCTGTCTACCAGGGAGCTAGGCATCTGCCTTTCTGCGCGGGCCTCCTAGATGCTTTTGCTGCTGATGTTAGTAGGCTTATAAGTAAAGAGGTAAGCTCATCCAGCTCCTCGGGGGTCAAATCTGTCAGGGGTATTCCTATAGCGCCAAGCTTTATGATCTCGATGAATCGTTTAAGCTCGTCTTCTGTCTTAACTTGGATCTTGGCTGGTTATACTGGAGTCGATCTGATGTTAAGGAAGGTTAAGCTGAGTATGAAATGGTCGGAGCTAGTGGCGAGATGGTCCTTAATGGTAGCTTTGGCCAGTGGCATATTGGTAAAGGCCAGGTTAATTGTATTACCATGTGGATTTGTCGGGATATCTAGAGTGTTAAGAAGATTGAGGTCATTCTCTGACGCCTATTCCGCTACCTTGTGGCCGCGGTTTGTTGCTTGGCCCGTCTGCTAACTACGATGCCTGGCATTGAAATCGCCAGCAATGAGGCAGCGCTCTGGAACAGGCCAGCGAAATAGCGTGTTTAGGGTATCCCTCTTGTTATTCTGGCGATAAAAGTTGATTATTGTTATGCCGTTGACTGTGATCTAAAGAATGTTACGTGTCTCAAAGGGGCGAATCTGGTCAGCCAGAAGTCTTAGGTCTCGTTGGATATATGTCATTACTCTAGGCCGAGTGTCGTTGCTGTTCTATATGTCGACTGGCGTGAACGTGTTGTAGGCAGGATGTGTCTTGGTTAGGCAGCGGGCTTTAGTATGAGCTGTCTACGGCTCCTGCAAGAGTATAATGTTATATTGTTCTAAGTCGGCTAGCGCCAGGGCGTAGTCGTGGGCCAGAGGGATCTTGCTGACGTTGGCCTGGAAGACCTTGAGTGGCTTCTTGTTGTTCTTTTGTGTCTGCGAGTACCTATTCCTGGTTATAGTCATGAGTACGGCTTGTCAGGATTATATGATGCTTCTTCTTCGGTGAGCTTAGTTTATGATGCTTAGGCTCCTCCTCTGCTTCGTAGGTAGCCCGGGGAGCTGTGGCCACTATGATGCACGAGGGTGCTCCTGACGCAGCTGGACTCGGAGCGTGAGCGTCTGGCTGTTCATCTAGTCCGATGTTGCCCCTTTGCAGCTTAGCCGCTCCTTGTTCGGTTTCCATATGCGTCTCTAGTTATGTTTCTAAATATCGTTGTCGGTATGTTTCCGCGCCTACCATTTGGACATGTTCTCGTTGTTCTTTGGTAAGCCGGCGAAGGATGCCGCGTACTTTCTTCGGCCAAGCTGGGCACTTATAAAGGCTGGCCTCGTAGGGCCCTAAGCAGTTAACGCACTGTTCTGGTGCAGCATAGCCATCTGCGATATAGTCAGTCTTGCTACAGCGTCGGCAGACTGGCTATCTACGGCAGTTGCGGGCAAAGTAGTAGTCTTAGCATGTTTTGCACTGTTTAGGTTGGATGGTTTTGTCTATAAGTCTGGCTGCACGGCTGCCAAAGAGGGACCAGAATCTCTTAGTAGGCTTAAGAAAGGACATAAGTAGAGTCTTAGTTAAGGGATTATCTGAGAATTGTCTCCTAGTATGTATATTAACGGGCTTAAGCCCTGTCTAGATTTCTATCTTATTGCTAATAACGCTGTTACTATCTACCTTATTACTGCAAAAGTCGGTTAGTCTTCTGGGAAAGTATGAGACCACATAAGTATGCCATTCCTTGTTCGTTTCTACTGCCATAGCTCCCAGCTTAGCCGCCCACTCGGCCCGCTTCTCTACCAGAAAGTCGCGCGTTTCAAGGTCGGCAGCCAGGATGGCCCATCCTGATCTAACTTCAAACACCTGTCGGATCTTGTCTGAGACGGCGCCGAGTTTTTCCCGGATCAGGGTCCGGATTGCATAGCCACTATGGGTCCTGGCCGGAGCTCCGGCTTCTAGACGGATGAAGACATGGAGGTCTTGTCGGGGTGGAGCGATGGTCGATTGTTGCCCTTGGCGATGAAGTGGGTCAGATTGTCGGTGTTGTTGTTGATGTTGGGGAGTTGGGCGGGCGCGGTTAGTGGGGAGCGAGGCGGCGACGCTGCTGTAGGTAGGCTTAGAAGCTGGTGCATCGCCGGAAAGCTCTTGTTTCCAAATGCCGAGGAAGCTGTCGGCGAATTGCTGAGCGAAACGTCGCTGCGGTCCGGCGGTGAATTGCTGAGCGGCTTCTTCAAACTTGGCGCGAAAGGCTTGGGGAGCCATCAGCTTAGTGTTGTACTCTTCTACGCGCTCGCAGGCGAGGTCATTGGCCGATTTGATAATAGAGATTGGCTGTTCAAAGATCGATGTGGGGTTGGCACGCTCAGCTCCTTCCATAGCTGCAGCAGTGGTGGCGGCGTTGAGTAGTGAGGACGGTGTCTGCGCCGTCCGCCCGGGTCCGGGTGAAACACCAACGGGACCGTTAACGATTGCAGGGCTGTTTTGCAGGAGAGCTGCACGGGCTCCTCGGTCTAGATTGGCGGGAGTGTGGATCCCAAGATCAAAGCGATCCGAGACATCGGGCGGGCTCGTCATGGACGAGGCCATCGCCGCGGCTTGCGGCTGCGCGAAGCGCAGGTTGGGTCGTTTGTTGTGCGCTTGTTAAGGATCTTGGTGCAGACAGGGGCACTTTCTTAACACTTGTATGCCAAGAAAGTGTGATGACAAAGGAAGGTGTTCGCGTTTGTAACCGCTAGGGTCGTAACACTCTAGCTATATACTAGGGTAGGTGTAGTGGGAGAAAAATTAGGGTTACTGAATTTTGGGACACTGAGCCCTATCGCCTTCCGTAGCCGGGAGGTTTTCCACAGCCCAAGGGATAATGGCCTAACTAGTTGGCTACTGGCCGGCGCGACTATATGGTGCAGAACAGGGGCCCCATAATGATGCCAGAATTATTATTATTAAAGCTTTTGCTTTATGCCACAGTTGGTCGCTCTGACCTGTTCGTAATAGTGGTGCCTCAGAAATTACTAATTCATCAAGCGATTTGCCAGACATTGGGTCGGCGCCTGCTTAGAAAGCAAGGTTATAATATGGCAATCTCGAGGCATGGATTCGTTTTATGCAATTTACTACCATTGACCTTTAGATCCGAGATGCAGGCCTAACCTGCATTTATTATGAAGCCTTGCAAATTACCTCAGGCAATAAAGCTTTTCTGTACTGAGTCTTGATTGTAAGATAGGTAGGACTGGATTATATCGTGGGTAAGCTTTGCTAGAGGTCTTTAAACACATCATCCCAAGCATAGCAGTCCTTTATAATAGAGATACTAATTAATCCAAAGGTAGAATGCCTAAGGATTATAACTACTCGACCTCGGGTATAAGGAATTAATTACGTGTCTAAACTGTTTATTTAAAGGACTATAGCTTTGAGTTTAGGTGATCTATCTACGGCCTATACTTTAGGCTAGTAAAGCCGAATTCTTTGGCTCTATAGTCTCTTTAGAATGCCAGCAGCGCTGTGCAAAGCCTGCAAGGAGCATGAGGCTTAGCCTCTAAGCCTATATGAAGTATGTAACGGGCCCGACATTATTAATTACGGCCCAGATCCTTAGACTAGTCGGCACGTTACTATCAGCATTCAATTATTCACTGCAAAAGGTCACTCGAATCAAACGTACCTTGTAACCGGGAGGGCACGGTGTGATACAGTTCCAAAACCCGTCTCCGTACCCGTGGCACTCGTACTCGCCATCGTTTTTTGCAGTCGTGATGGGCTTGCTGCAAGGCGGCAGGTCCATTAAACCCTGGGCATTAGCCTTCCACCTGGCGCAGCCCATGCAGGCGCCGTACTTTTTACCCGGTGCGGTGCACTGGCGCGCGCAGCGGCCGCTGCAGCCGGACACGTCGTCGACGCTGTAGTCCGCAAAAAGCCAGGAGAAGTCGCTGGGGGACAGGTTGCGGTTCGAGGAAAAGCCTGGGGAGCAAGCTTGGACGAGGGATATGTTTGCGCAGAGGGCGGCGGCGATGGTTGCTTTAAGATGCATTTTTGTTGGTATGTGTATTAGTCTGGAAAAGTGTTATTGTCTTTTGTTTTTTAGAGTCTGTAACAAGGAAATGGAATTTGCAAGAAACTATCAAGAGACAGGTATATATATAGGAATAGAAGGAATACAATATCAGCCAGACCGCATCTATATAAGAGTAAATACCGATGGTGGTTTAGTTGGATACCATTGGCAGCCATTTTAATAGACTTCCTTATTTAAAAGTTTATAACCCCTGAAATTTCCTAGCGCAAATCAATACTAGGGCTCCAATAGTCAAGGTCTCTTTACCTACTGGCTGCCCCCGTTACGCCGATGCCTGGTGCAGCGTGTCCCCCACCATAGGCTCGTGTTCTCCCACAGGAACTATGTTCTTTGTTACTAATTGCCTCAGTGTACTGCCGTTTTTGGTAATCTTGTTTACCCTTGTCTCTAACCTTGCCTTGCGCGCCCTGAATAAACGTTTAGCGGGCGCATCCATCCCCGCGAGCGTCCCTTCCTGCCTAGCCGCGACTGCCTCGCCTCCCTGGCCGACATCAAACGGCCCTTTTGGGTAGTTTTAGGTTACAGCAGCAAGCCGAGGTGCCGCGTTATTGCGACTACAGAGGTCGATCCAGAAAGTTTTGTCCTCGCCTAACGCCACCCCCTGTTCGTGACAGGGGCCCCTAGTGTGGCACGCACAGCAGAGGGGTGCATAAGAGAGGGTTTAAAGAGCCTTATATTAGTATAAGAAGAGGATGCACCAGTCGCCTTATATAATAAGCGAGCTTGGCGGGGACTCATACCCGCACAACCGGCTGTGCGTTTAGTATCACGTGTTTTTCGCACAACCGGTTGTGCGGATAAGGCCACGTAAGCTTCTTTGGTCAAATCCGCACAACTGGGGGACCATCAGTCAATTCATCTTCCTATTATATTTACATCACCAATAAAGTAATTACCGACTTTCTGCTTCATAATTTAACTTCATCTATATAATTAGTATTCAAATGAGTAACATTGAGCTCTCAGTCCCTTCTGCTGCCGATGAATTGGCAAGACAGTGGCCCGATGATGTTCTTCCCCCAGAGGCATCATATCCATCACGAGAAGCCCTCCTTACAGATATCAACAAGTGGGCAAAGGCTCGAGGATATGCCTTTGTAACGAGGCGTACGATACGTACGGCAAATGGAAGACTGCACATACACTTCAGCTGTGACCGCGGCGGAGGTAAATATACACCAATTCCTGATTCCAAGAGGAAGAGGAAGCGTACCACTCAACGCACAGGGTGCGAGTTCTCTGTGATAGGAAAAGAGAGCCTCTGCAAGAGTGAATGGAGTCTTCGACATCGTCCTGATCCCTCCCACTCTCGTCATAATCATGAGCCTACTGTTGGAAGTGGTGTTGCACATACAACTCACCGAAAGCTCTCTGATGAAGATGTCCTCATGGTCAAAAAGCTCACTCTTGCCGGCGTTGAACAACGCCAAATTAAGACCTACCTACTGCAGAATACAGAGGCATTATTCATTGACTCGGATCTCGCGAATTGTATCTCTCGAGCAAAGCAAGACCTTGCCAATGGACAGAGCCATATGGTTGCTCTGCTTCAACATCTCGATTCACAGGGCTTCTGGAGTCGTCACCTTATTGGAAAGGACTCTCGACTGCAGTCAGTTATGTTTGCTCATCCAGAATCACTCCAATTCGCTAGGTCATACCCTGAGGTACTCATAGTTGACTGTACCTACAAGACCAACAAGTACAAGATGCCTCTCCTCGACATGGTTGGTGTTGATGCCACAGGGAGCACCTTCTGTATTGCATTTGCATATCTCAGTGGCGAGGAAGAGGAGGACTTCGCCTGGGCTCTTAGGGCGTTACGAGATTTGTATGATACTAATGATATTCCTCATCCTTCAGTTGTACTGACTGATCGATGTCTTGCTTGCATGAATGCCATTGTATCCCTTCTCTGCTTTCCAGCATCAAAGGTCATGCTCTGCCTTTGGCATATCAACAGAGCAGTCCTGACCTTCTGTATGAGTGGCTTTACGAAGGGCAAGGACGATGAAGAGGGACAAGAGGCATGGAAGGAATTCTATGACAGTTGGCATATGCTCGTAGCCTCAAAGTCACAGGCCATATATGACGAGAGACTGAAGGTCTTTCTGCTTCAGTATACTCGTTCACATCCAAAGGAGGTAGATTACCTTCTCTCGACCTGGCTGAACCCCCATAAGGGTAAGTTCGTTAAGGCGTTTATAAATGAGTATCTACATCTGAACCAATTCGTTACATCTCGAGTAGAAGGTATTCATTCCCTACTTAAGTCTCATCTGAAAAGCTCCAAGGCTGACCTCTTTGAGGCTTTCCAAATCATCAAGCTGGTGATCACGAACCAGCTAACTACACTGAAATCTGCACAGGCTCTCGAACAAGCAACAAGACCTACTTGGCGCGCTCAGATATTGTCAGGAGCTCTATACAGCCAAGTCCGCGGTTGGATATCTCATAAGGCATTGATCATGGTCGATCTGCAGCGAGAACAGATAGGAGAGAGTCTCCCTCGATGTACCGGGAGTTTCTTGAAGACTATGGGTATACCTTGTGCTCACGCCCTTATGCCATTGATCCAGGGAAACGAGCCCTTATTGACGAGCCATTTCCATTCACATTGGTATCTCCAGCGATCTGGGATGCCGCCGCTGATATTCGAGCCCCGTAAGGTTGATGATCGCCGTGCAGCCTTAAAGTCACAGCCGGCATCGAGTACACGGCGAGATTCATGTGCATTTGAAGGAGTTGAAAAGGCACTACTTCCCTCAGTGCCCAGGAAGCCACAGACCTGCTCTCGATGTCACAAGCAAGGTCATAACAGAAACTCAAGGCTATGCCCCGAGAAGTATGTCGAAATGGCAGCAGAGCTTGATAACATGGAGAGAGAACGAGATCTCACTACAAAGGAGGTTACAGTTATAGATACACAGAGCAGGTCTATATCTCCTGCTGCTGCCGCAGCCTCAACACCACAGATAACCCCGACCCCGACCTACTACTACCTTCAAGAGCCCGTACATCGAGTATATGCAAAGTACAAGGAATCTCGCGAGGCGTGGTTTAACCAGCAGCCCCCCGGTACCTCTCTTACCGACCGTACCTTCAGAGAAGCTGTTGGACTGCCTTTGGAGTATGATGCAGTCAGGTATCGGTGGTGCCGGAGGTCAGAGCAGATGGGGCCCTTCGTCAAGCTTCACAACAGCTTCAAACTGAGAGATTGGACGTTGGAGGAGATGCGCAGCTGGCTTGATGATGATGACAGATCTAATGATGATGCCGATCAACTGGAAATGCAGCTTTTGGGAGCAGAAGGCCCTAGCTACGCATCCCGGCAAGGACCTGCAAGTCACATATTATCACGGCTGCGGCAGGGAGGCGATCTGATTCTCCCGGCGAGATAACCAAGCAGTCAGGCAGCCTGATGCCAAATGAGATACAGAGGGACAACAGTCAATTGGGAGCTATATATAGATAGAGCGAATTTCGGCGAATTTAATGATATAATCATTGTCACTCAATGGTAGCTCTTTGCGATTAAAGTGCCTCTTTTCATTTCGTGGTATTCATAATGATCGAGAGTCAGTAAAGTCAGAGCGCGCGAAATCGTCAATCCTTGCAAATTAATTATCCCGGTCAGAATACCTATACTTACAACCAGCTACTTGCGCCTGAGAAGGATAATATATATATCATTAAATTGAGAGAAAAAAGCTGAATTGATTGATATATATCTCAATACCTCAATCCGCTAGATTCTAATGTTGTTGGCAAGTGAGAAGATGGTATAGGGTCGGATGTGGAGAATTGAATCGCACATACACAAGTGGATAGATCAAGTGAAGGAATCATGTATTTCTCTTCAAGCAGATTACAACCTCAACAGAGCAGATAACATCAATACAGCAAGAGATTTAAACTGGCATATATGCCACTAAATACACATAAGAAAGTAACCCCAAATATCCTCAATTCCCCCTACTGTCTGCCCGTCCAAGTCCACACAATATGCCCCTGTGGATTGACCGAATTGATATGCATGCCATTCTGCTGGGCCACCTGCAAAGTCAGTGCATGCATAGTCATTCCAACCGCAGGCGTAGGCCACATTGTAGCAGGGATTGGAGGCCCTGCTCGATATGCTGCATCTTGCCGTTGCAGCGTTTGAGCTGTCCAGAAAGGCACAGCATCAGGGACCGGTCGAGCCAACCGTTGGTTGACTGCATTATGAAGCTGGCCGGCATGCCAGTTTCCCTCAACGCTGTATCCCTGGTTCCATGTCGCCACAGTTGCTGGAGCCCCAGCAGGAACAAAGCTGGTGTTGTATGCCGTATGAAGCTGTGCCGGCGTCAGGAGACCTACATTTGTATTGGCTCCCGGGGGAGCGTTCTGGGCTATCCAACCATTGGTGTTGAACACGTTGTGCACCGGCTGTTGCACTCCCAGATTCTCTTGGCCATGAAGAACAAGTCGGGGGATAGGCTGAAAGAAGCCTGCTGCCTCACGTACTACTTGCCCAGTCCCCAAGTGACCAGGAAGGTTATTTGCAGCAACAGCAGGCTGCAGGACAAACTGGTTGTTTTGGTTCGAAGGGACCGGGCAGGGGACAGTTCGAGTGTTATCCTCGAAGATCTTGAAGTCGTTATTCTTGTTGTTGTTTGGAGCCATCGTTGAAGAGATAGAGACGTTGTAAGCTAGGGGGTTTGTTGGATTGCTTGATATCTTGAAGGAAGACGTTGTATTAAGGAGAGAAGATGAGAAATTCATCTCTCAATTTATATGTGTATCTACTGATTGACTCACGGCTATGTTGAATGCTTGCTGTACAGATCAAGAGTGACAGAGGAATCATTTCTATAGCATAACTGAAGGCATAACAACAGATATCCTGTATACAGTATCTCCCTTCGTTGATTTGAGTCGAGAAGAAGAAGGCATACACTGTTGAGTTGATCATATTGCAGTCACAATAGAGAGGGCTTCTGTATATCAGTATCAGTTATATCTGTGATGTGACGAGGCTCTCTTCATATCCTTGATATTATGAGCAGATGACTGTTCTTGCGTAATCCTATCAGTTGGAAGGTTACGTTACTTCTGTGTTATTTGCGGTAGATGGAGGCCAGGCAGCGGATCAATGATATGAAATATGAAGTGATGAGCAGTCATGAAGACGAAAAATACCACTGAATAGCTATTTCAATTATAAATGGTGTTGTTGTTGAACAGCAGTTGTGCATTTAATCCAAAGTCAGACATTCAGCCTTATCCGCACAACCGGTTGTGCGAAAAACACGTGATACTAAACGCACAGCCGGTTGTGCGGGTATGAGTCCCCGAGCTTGGCTGACTAGTGACTAAGCGGACCAATCATACCTTTTGACACCTAGGAAGGTCAAAAGAAGTAGAGAATGCAGTGAGGAATCTGCCTACCTATTTTCCCTTGTAATCCCCTTAACAGGTTTTTTTTAAAGTTTCTAATAATCTTGTACATTGACCCGGTCAATGCACCCCCCGTGCTATAGGCGCGGGCACTGGTGACTGAGCGAATATAGCAAGGGGGACCGGTCTCTAGGCCCTACCCAAGTAGTCTCTACGGAATTGCCGGCAGCGTGATTACAGTGGGATGCAATGAGTTTGAATACCCTTTCAAGTAATGTTACCCCCTGTCTAGCCTATTTGGAGTTCAGGCTGCTTCTAATCTGAGGAAGAAGCTTGATCTAGCCAATTACTATATTCTTATTAGCCGTGCAAAAGCTAATATGTACGTGGTAGCCGGCTCAAAGAGGCTAGCGGCAGGAGAAGATACACGCCCGGTATTCAAACTTAGAACACGACCTTTTGGGAAGCTAACGGTCCCACTATTAGCCACGAGATCCGGCTCTTACTTTGTGCTCCATTGTTTAAGCTTTGTCGTGTTAGAACTCGAGTTGATTTGCCTCCCTCGATCCACCCTCTCGGAAGCGGCAATCATGTCACCCATAACCGCGTACAGCACTTTGACAAAAGCGACTGGGATCCCTGGAAAGATGCCCGGAAAGAACCGCCTCAATATACCACAGTATACAGAGTAGTTGCTTCTCTTTGAGGAACGGTTGCTAACAACTCTAGCTCACTAACTATGGAAAAAACTGCTTTACAGTAATAAGCTTTACCCGCATTATCTATCCATCACTTAGGAACTATAATCGCCATACTTTTCTCTTCGCTTTAGATTTTCCATATCTAGCATTGAGCTTTAGAGGTATCCTAGGTACCTGGTCATATTAACAAGACCCGGCATATCGGCAAGACCGGGTATATGAAGAGTGTGTTGGATTGTAAGTCGTGATACTAAGCTGTGTGGCGTGTTTGATCTCGAAATAAACAAATGATACCTTCAAGACCTTAATGATTATAGAGTTTAAATACGAAGAGTTCTCAAAAGTCTGAGGATGTTCTAGCCACCCATATAGATCCATGTAGAATGTATGAGACATTAATTCCTTCTCTGGGTTTTAGGTGTCTTCTATCTTAATGATTTATGATTGTCTCAGAACCTTCAAGGCTTGCATTTAAGTCTTACACGCTAAACTTGGCTTAAATTCATCAAGCTTCTGCCCCAGCGCATCGACCTTCCTTCTTTGGAGTTCCGTATTCTAGTCTCATTGCTTGCTGATCAATAATGGGGTTAAAACTAATGATCAAACGCTATTGCCCCTGAACCCTGGCTAACGGCGCTGTCTTGCGACCCCACTAGATGGAAGGTGATGAAATGTCGGACCGAGAGACCTAGGACCTCCTTACTTCGAAGGTTTTAAGTTCGTTGCACAAATGAGGCAAGCAAAAGCTGTACGAATTAAAGCACAGACATTTTATGCTGGCGACTGAGCATGACAAGGGTGAGCCGAGTTTATTGTTAGACATTGCAAATTAGAGGCATAAAAGTCATCTGCATTTAAAATACGGGGTCGCACAGCAGAAGAGGCCACTCAATTTGTCTCACCTTACTGCTGTAATCAGGAAATTGAGAAGAGCCTGAGGTGACACGGCACCCGAAATCTTTGTTTGCTTTGCCTAGGTCTCGTGCCAGGACCTTTACTCCGGCCCGCGCTCACGGCATTGATCGTTTACCTAGCTAATCTGTTTCACAATATTCCTATTAGTTGACGTACAAAGGCAAGAGAGTGGGTAGTCAGATCATATGTAGGATATCACCCCTTGGCACGGCGATTATTTCTGCCAATTTATCTTAAATAAGAACAAGTCCTAAGATTATTAAGCTTCCACTGGAAATTAATAAGAAAACAACCTGCATAAGTTTGATTCCTCAAAGGCAATATGGTAAACTTGAAACTATATGGTTTTATTCTCCAAAGTTTATATTAAGCTACCACCTTCTAAGTATAGATAGTCTCACGTAAGCCAATAGCATGACTGTGATTTACTATCCGTGTTGGCAGTTGGCAGTTAGTGCGTGTGATTGATTTCCATTGCCGCTTATGTAGATTACCCTGCTTAGTCGAGGCGAAAAAGGCTGGTATCCATGTGATTCATGGTAATACTGCAGCTGTAAACCCTGACCATGCCTTTGTGCCCCATGCTCATCCTACGATGCACTGTAACTGAGCCTCGATTGCTAATCCGAGCGTCTGACCTGTTGCTGCATAAGGCCCTACCGGTATTCGAAGGAGATCACAACAAACACGACTTCGAGGTGGTCTCCGAAGTCACCGGAAAATCTCAAGTAGCGCCAACTATATGAAATGAATACAACCTCACGGCGGGAAGGAGCGGGAGTGTTGAGACAGTATGGCTAAGGTGGTCTGATCTGCTGGTGGCTAGGATGTGGATACTATGTAAGGAGCTGTGCTCCTCTTAGACATATGTAACTTAGAACTACGGAGGTTCATACCAAAAGTCTTTGCCGGCGCTAAAATCACGCTAAGTGGGGCAAAAGAGCTGGTACCTGCAAATATTGATTTTTACGCCTATTTACCCCTGCCTTCTTTGTACTCATTCCCACCTTCCAAAGCTATGATTTTTTGAATGTGCACAGGAATTCTCTCTATCCACGCCTGGATCTGCTTCTGCGGAAGGTCATTCCACGCAGCCTCCCACTTGCGAATAGCTTCCTTTCTATTCTTTGGGGCGCCTTTTTTCGTTGTTATCCTCTTCATCCACGGCCAGGCAGGCTCAATAGCGTTTAAATCTGGCGAATTTGAACACCAAAGAAGTCTCTGAACTCCCTCGGCGTCATACAGAAGCTGCTGCGCGTGGTGTTTATGACTAGGAGCTCGATCTTCTTGTACGAGGGTATTCAGTCTTTCCTTTTCACATTCCTTTGCAAAAGGAAGCAATCTCGGAATCAGGATCTTGATACGGTATCGCCACCAGTCAATACCGCCTTTTTTTCCCTCCCTCATCAGCTTGCCGTTAGCTTTATTCCAAGACCACACAGGCTTCTTGCCCGGTAGGTTGCGAAGCCCTAGCCTTCTCATTCCATTCTCAAGCTCCCATTTCTCTTTCATAACCGGCTCGAGCTCTTCATTCATCGCCTGTATCGCCTCTTCAGCTTCCTTCTTCTCCTTCGAGGTCTCTGGAGACCAGCAATAACAGGGACCTTTTTTATCGTATGAAAAGCAGGCCCAAAACATGAACTCGCTGGAGCCTTTCCATCTCTCACGAATGCAGCTGCGGAGAAACCGCTCCTCAGGCTGCCTCCAAATGCGATAGCCGCCGCGGCGATGAAGAAGCACCACAGAAGTCTCGTCTGACCAAATCACAGCTTTCCAATCTTCGAGGGTCCAATCTTTATGAGCGATACACCATTCCAGGCGCTCTTTCTTCATCGCTGCAGTCAGTCCAGGCTTCCTCGTCGGCTTCGTTTTCCTGTATCCTGCTGATTTGAGGATCCTGCCGATAGATATCGCCGAGATCTCGATACCCTGACTGCTGAGCTCAGCAGAGATATCAGTAAGTGTTTTTTCCCTGCCAAATTGATCGGTGCTGACCTTAGCGATGATTAGGCTGCGATTTTCATCGGTCTGCTTCGGAGGCCGCCCTGATCGAGAACCATCTTCGAGCCAAGCGTCAATAAGCTTGAGGGGACATTCATTAGGCTCGAAGCCTCTCTCGATTGCACGAGAATATATCTTGTTGATCGTACGTTCAGGGATACCAGTGAGAAGGTGGATTTGAGGCGTGGTTTTTGCTCCTCCGTGAGGCGCTTTTAACGTCACCACCAAAGCCCGAGTCGCGATATCTGTTTTCACATACGGCATCTTCTTCGTGAGGTAAAGAGGGGAAGAACGGTGTAAAAATCACTCATGGAAGATGGCTAACAAATTCAGCAGGGATACCCTATTTGAGTTTGCAGGGGTGGTTCCTGATCCCTGTTCGCCGGCAAAGACTTTTGGTATGAACCTCCGTAGGATTAGCAGGGAATGTTGCTTCACTGACAAAAGTTCAGAGGTTCAGGGTTCAGGTGTAGAATGAGGTTGTGTGGCACATCGGACCTGTCCGTTGCCGCTTAGAACGCGACCTGCTAGGAAGCTAACTGCCTCACCATTAGCCGCGGGGTCCGGCTCTTACTTTGTGCTCCATTGTTCAAGGTTTGTCCCCATCAGTTTTAAGCAAGGTTTGCAAAACTATCACATAACTTTTTGGAGCGTGACCCAAGTCGCATGCCCTTGCAGATGCTGTTGATTCCCAGAATTTTTGAGGAGCGGCAGTCTCGGGCAGTCGAGCTGTCATCAACGGGATTACGGGATGGCCATACTGTACGAGATTTTTGATTCTGTCAATTTGGGGGACAGGTTTACGAGTTTGAAGTAGAAACAATCGCATACCCTGGTGCAGCCTCGTATTGATGCTATTAACAGCGATTATGAGTTCACTGTGCAGGGAAATTAGCCAACTTGACGCCGCGCCTCTGGGTCCGGCATTTGTTCCTAACATCTCCTTCATGTCATGGCCACAGTAGCTTAGCCCGACTGGTTATCGGCAAAATCGGCTTTTTTGACTTTCGCAACTTGAATTAGGACCGAATGGTTCAACTCAATAGCTTGGTATATTTTGCATGCCTGTGAAGCCGTCGAGTGGCCAGCTGGTCCTTAAGAACATAGTTGATTCATTGCCATACCCTTCATTTGAATCCAAAACGCAAAATCCATGGTTAAAGGCGGAACGAATAGCTCCCTCAGCGCTTGCCCTGGCATATTGTTTCTTTGATCTGAGAAGCAGTGAAGTCATAATTTAACGATTAAACAGGGAGTAACCTGCATTATATTTGCAGGCACTTACAGTAGTGGCGGGCGCCCAAGAGCAGCTATTAATTTATTTTTATTTATTTTTACACTTGGATGAATCGGAAAGTTAATATAACGTCCGTCACCCAAAGACTGGCCACCCCCACAGACCGGCCACCCCGACCAAAACACCAAGAACCGGATATCATGATCAATTAACTAAT